GAGCCACAACTCAAACTGAAGAGAAACAGCTATAAACATCCATTAATAATCGGAATATGGAATGTAAGAAATATGAATCTAGGAAAATCGAAAATTTGTCAAAACTGAAATTAAACACATAAGCATCCATATCCTAGGCATTAGTGAGTTGAAATAGACTGGTAGTAGCCATTTTGAATATGACAATCATATGGTTTACTGTGCCAGGAGAGACAAATTGAGGAGGAATGGCGTCACATTAAGAAGAACATATAAAGATTTGTATTGATGTACAAAGCTGTCTGTGATATCCATATCTTACAAGGAAGACCAGTTAATATCATTATTTGTCAAAGATATGCACGAATCACTAAAGCCAGTGATGATGAAAATGAAGACTTCTAACAACGTCTTTAGTCTGAAATTGATCAAACATGCATTCAAGATGTATTGATAATTACTGGCCATTGGAATGCAAAGAGGAAAGCGCTGTAGTTTGAAAATATGGCCTTGGTGATAGAAACAATGCTGGAGATCTCATGATAGAATTTTGCAAGACCAATGACTTCTTTATTGCAAATACATTTTTTTAAGCAACATAAAAGATTACTATACACATCGACCTCACCAGATGGAATACACAGAAATCAAATTGACTACATTTGTGGAAAGAGATGGTGGGAAATCTCCATATCATCAGCCCCAAACAAGGCCAGGGTCAGACTATGGAACAGACTATCTACTGTTCATACTCAGTTTGAATTTTCAAGCTGAAGAAAATTAAAACAATTCCACAAAAGTCAAAATGTGGCCTTGAATATATCCCACTTGAATTTAGAAGAACACATTTGGTGCATTACACCCTACAGATTGAAGACCAGAAGAGTTTTGAGGTGACTTCTAGAATATCATATAGGAAGAAAGAAAAGGGTCATTAAGAAGGAAAAGACCAACATGGACATCAGACGAGACTCTGAAACTTACTCTCCAGCGTAGAGAAGCTAAAGCAAATGGAAGTAGTGAGGAGGTACAAGAGCTGAACAGAAAGTTTCTGTTCATGCAGTCAATTCATTCAGGAAGCATTACGAGGAGGTATCTGTACAGAAACAAGTGGAAACACCCAAGCAAGGGTCAGCTATTACTTTTCACTTCAAACTCCTCCTTCTGTACTCTGCTTTGCCAGCTGTTGTTGTTGTTGTTGTTACGTGCTGTCCAGCAGACAGCCCTTCTGGGGAGGTGTATGTCATTGTTGTTGTTAGGTGCCATCGAGTCGGCACCGACCCATAGCAACCTTATGCACAGCAGAACGAAACACTGCCCGATCCTGGGCCACGCTTGAGTCCATCGATGCTGCCACTTGGCCAATCCGTCATGTATTACATGGATTTAAAAACAAAAGCAAACACAAGTTACTATGGATCATACCAAACATACACCAGATGTTAAGTGCCCTCAAGTCGGTTCCGACTCATAGTGACATTGTATAGGGTTTAAACTGCCAACCCTGCAGTTAACAGTCCAGTGTTAATTACATCACACAAGAACGCCAAACACACAGTTAAGCAGGAAAGTAGTCTAAGGTACCCTCGTGTCTCCCAGCTTCAACTCATGAACGAGTGAGTACACACTTATTTTTATACCTTCACCCAGTCTCTTGTTTTAAAGCAAACCGGCTATTATATAATGTAATCCCTACATAACCAATGTATATTTTTAAAATACAAGAACTTTAAAAAATAGACTGTTGTCGTCCGTAAAATTAGAAGTCCTGGTGTGGCAGGCACTGAGCCGGTTAATGCGCAGGACTTAATGAACCGCATAGTCAGAAACCCTATACAGGGTCGCTATGGGTCGGAACCGATTTAATGGCACTTAACAACAACCATATAATACAATAGGCACATCTAGAAAAACGAGCTTTATTCTTTTATGCCCCGAAGCGAATAAGGCATTACTTTTGGCTTTGTTTTTTAATAATCTAAAGAATTCTAGCACTCTTTTGAAACTTGAAATGGCCTCTTTATCTTACCTGAGATTTTGCAACGTTGTGATAATTTCCAGCCCAGACAAATTTATACCGGTCCAAATTGACTGAACTCTGGTTTCCATTAGTCTAAAACGCTACCCTTTTACCCCGGGTGGGACTCGAACCCACAATCCCTGGCTTAGGAGGCCAATGCCTTATCCATTAGGCCACCGGGGCTGACGCGGATCGAGGTTCACTAATCATAGAGCAGTACCGCAACCCCTTCCCGGTAGTTTTAGCATTACTTCCCAGCCTCATCCCGGCCTTTCCCGGGCCCCTCGACGTTGGTACTAGGCCCCCGTTCCCCTTCAGACCTCACAGGTCACTGGACAGTCTCCAGACCCCAGAGTGGTGAAACACAAAGACTACACAACGGCTCTCTGGCTCTCTGATTGGCTGTTTAATCTGCAGGCGTGGCTTTTGCTTAAAGAGAGAGGGATGCAGGGTTCAAGTCCGGATCGATCACATTACGTCTTCTTTTAGGAGGCGAGCACGGATAACTAGTCGCGAAGGTGTTTGATGCAGAATAGGGAAAAGAATAAAAAGGGACAGCCTGCGTACTCTGCAATGACAGAAAAAGGACGGGGGAGGTGACCACCGCTGTCCACCACCCCATTCCCCTATAGCTCCTGGCCCGGGTCCCTGCTTTCTTTGAAAACGGCTCTCTTTCGGTCTCTGACCTGAGAGGCCTCTAGAAAAACGTCCTGTCAGCTGCCCGGCTAGCTCAGTCGGTAGAGCATGAGACTCTTAATCTCAGGGTCGTGGGTTCGAGCCCCACGTTGGGCGCTGCTAGTTGCTTTTTACAAATTACATTTCTTTGTTATTTTTCATGTTTATTTCTTGCTTCTCTCTTATTTTTTTCTGTATTTCTTTTCCATCTGCTCCGTTTTACTTGATTCTATTTTTTTGAAGCGCTATTTTATTATTTACGCTTTTCTCTTCCCGCCATTCCTGCATCTTTAAATGTTTTATCCCTATAAAATCTGTCTTCCGCATATTTACGAGCCCTTAGTAAACCACTGTAAGTGAATATCCAGTGTCTTTGAGGTCTTCAGTAAATCTTCGTAGAATGGAACTGGTGGGTCAAAAGGCATTGCCAAATTTCAAAGAGGTGGCCTGTCTTCGTGGCTGCCCTAGTCCTACATTCTCCAGAACCTGGGCCCTCCCTCGCCTACAAGGTCCTGAAGGGCTGCTGCGGCCAAGGCCGTCCAGGGCGCAGGTGCTCCACGCACCCTGCCCCTCACCCACGATCACACAGGCCACGCAGGCCCCCGGGACCTCATCTACGCAGGTGTGAAATGAATTGGACCCGAGCCGGGGTTCCCCGACTCCCCGGACTCTCGGTCTATGACTTCCGGCTTCGCAGTCTATCCTCAACGCTCGGGTCTTGGGGTTGCAGCCCTGGCCCTGAATTCTCGAATTCCCTAACAGCAGTGCCGAAAAAACAGTGAGGAGTAAGCGGCTTACACTGTCTAAGGCCCAGGCCAGTCCCCAGAGAAAAAGAAAACATTTTAACTACGAGGTGTGCGGAGAGGGGGGAAATAAAGAAAAACACGGAACCGACCACGAAGGGACTCGAACCCTCAATCTTCTGATCCGGAATCAGACGCCTTATCCATTAGGCCACGCGGCCTCACGGCAAAATGCTGCGCAGCTTGCCTCATAAAGGATACGCAGGCGCCTCTTAGCAGGCTTTAGTGCGCATGCTTGAGACCAAGAGACGCCCCGCCTCTCAGGGCACTGTTAAACCCAACGTTAACTCAGAGTCATAGCGCCCTGCATGGACAAAGCGATTAGCTGGGAATGCAAGGCAGCGGGCACAGAACTGAGAGAGTTCGAACCCTAAGGAGGCCGCCAGTCCTCTCCACTCCCGTAGCCTCCCTCCGCTCTCCCCCAGCCCGGGGCTGCTCCCCCAGCCCCTGAGAGCCCATCACAGACCAAGACATCGGCAATGGCTTGTCCCAGGGCCCGTGGGCCCAGATGGGACTCGGACCTCCTTCAGGGTGGAACTAGGGTGCGTGTGAAGAACTGGGGTCTCCCCTCCTGGCTCCCCGCTACTCCCTTCGAAGTGCCCCTCGCCTCCGCTAGAACTGGCCATATCCTCAGTTCGGCGCTGTTTATTGCACTCTGGTAAAAGGGGGGGGGGGGGGGGCACTTATCCTGGCTTCAGTGACTGGATGATCAGAGCGAAACCAGAAGTAAAAAAAAAAAGTATTCTCATACAATTTGATGAACTTGACCTACACCTATGGATGCAGTAACTCAAAAGAGGGAACAAGTCCTTACAGCAAGAATCATTCCCACCCCCTCCACACACAGAGTAGACAGGGATGGGCAACTTGGACATCGGCTACCCAAAATGGGGGGTGGGGGCTACAAAGGCAAGAAGTGACTGGCTTACAAGCTTTCAAGAGGGAACCTAGATCCAGAGGGCCTGGAGGAAGGTAGAATCTCCAGTGAGTATTATTCAATCTGACTAGGCAGGGCTGATGCAATGAAGTGCAGACGGGTCTCTTGTGATAAAATAGTGAATAATTGTTATCAGGACTGATTGTGAGGGTCGGAAATGTAAAGGTAGACATTTTATAGCAAGGAGGGGAGTGATTAACTTTTCAGTCTAGGAGCGGAGGTCCCTAGGACCATCAAGGGAGAAGAGCAGAGAGTGGGACCCTACCCAGAGAAGCAGTGATGCCTGAAATGGAGCCAGAGATGATGACGTGGAGCGATGGAGCAGCTGGAGACTTTAGATCCAGAGAGGGAGAGCGACTGTGTGAAGACCTGGGGGTAAGGGGGAAGGATTGCATGGAGGGGATTGTAACCATGGCAATGAGATGATATACGATAGAATGAATGTAAAACTAATGTTCTCCCACGTAAACTATCACATAATTCACAATAAATATTTAAGAAAAAGAAAAGTATACTTTTCCAAAAACAAGGTGGGGGGGGGGGATCACTGACTGGACGAAGTTGGCATGACCCCAGGTCCATGTGGTCAGGCTCTCAGGCAGAGGCTGCGGCGCAACGAGCTGCGGATCTCCAAGCAGGCTTTGTGGGGCTTGTCACTGTCGGGCCCCAGCACGTCCAGCTCACACACCTGCCTATTGACCTGCAAGGGACAACGCTTGACCACTACTCAGGGCTACCCAACCTGGGGCTCCACCTGGCGTTCAATGGGCAGCCCCTGGGCCGGGCTGGGGGAACAGGGAGTCCAGCCCCCTGTTACTGATCTCTCTCTCACACACACACACACACACCTCTCCCCACAACTCCTTCCTACTGACCGCCCTACACCCCATCTCCCCACCACACACACCTCTGTCATCAGCTCTAGAAGGTCTCTCCCAGGGTCAGCGCCGACAACCTCCACCAGAGTTTGGATAAAATCAGAGCCCTTGTCATCCCGATAGGCTACACAGCCTAAAGCAAAGGGGTCCAGGAGTTTCAGTCCCTGGCCTCTCCCCGCTGGGGCCTCCAGTCCCCAGGGCCTGTTGTTGATTGGGGGGGGGGGGGGGGGGGCGGGAAGCAGCAAGCAGACAGGCCTCAGGGAATAGCACCAGGGAGCATCTAGGACAAGTGGTGCTCAATATTTGCACAATGAGTATATAGATGGATTTAATGTTTGAGCTGGTATGGTGCCTGCCATAGGGTAAACACACGACCTCAAGGACGGTTTTTATAAACGGCAAGGTCGTCCGCTCAAACTCACCAGCAGCTCCTCGGAAACCCTATAGACGTTGGTCACTAGAGTTGGAACTGACTGCACAGCAATTAACAACAATATTTGAGCAAGCATTGACTTCTGCGCCAGGTTCCAAGCAGGGCCGTTGGACCAACTTATCCATCCTGCCCTGAGGAGCTTACAGTCCAAGGAAGATGATGCTGGCAGGGGGCTTGGCACCCAATATATCAGCTCATTATTTTATACATAATAAGGTATGGAAGATGACTTAACTGCAACTAAGCTGGTGACCCCTGGACCCCAATTTTCAAACCCTGGCTACCCTAGACCATGGTCAGGCCTCTTCTTACCCTCGGCCGCCGAGTAGACCATCAGGATGTCTGCGTGGTCAGCAGTCCTTGGAGGGTGTCCCCTGAAGGAGCTGCCTATAAAAGATACCAACCCCACTTAACCCAGAGCAACCAGCCCCAGGTGGAGGTGTCTCCCACTTGTTGCAGATTGAATTGTGTCACCCCAAAATTTATACTGAAGACATGCCTGGTGTCTGTGAATGTGACTTTGTTTGGAAATGGGGGGTCTTGATGTTATCAGTTCAGATTTATAAGGGGAGCAATAATATGAGGGAGGTATTATACACACCTTAGAACAATCAACCATTTGAGATCAAAAGGGCAGCATTTACCCAAGGGCAAAGTTCAGAAAGGGGGAGGAAAGGAAACTGGACACACAGCGAGGATGTGAGGATGGCAATCTATGACGGAAAACCAAATGTGTATGAACTGTTGACTGGAAAGACGACCTGTTCTGTAAACCTTCACCAAATTCATATCACATTAACAAGTTTAAAGATAAAGATGCTATCGGTTAAGATGAAGTCACAATGGAGTAAAATGGGTCCTAATCCTATATGGGGGTCCTGGTTCAGTACTGTAGGATAAACACTGGACTGCTAACTGCAAGGTCTGCGATTCAAACCCACCATGCACTCCTCAGAAACCTTATACAGAGTAACTATGAGTCCAAACTGACTTGATGGCTACTTAACAACAGCAATAATCCTATATAACTTATCAAACACAAAAGGGCACACAAAGAAATAGACAGCCAGAAGAACATCATGTGATGCTACAGCTGCAAGCTAAGGAACACCTGGAGCTCCCAAAAGCTGGGAGAGGCAAGGAACAGAATCTCAAAGCCTCCAAAGGAATTAACACTACTGACCTTGATCTTGGACTTCCAGACTCCAGAGCTGTGATACAACACATTTCTGTTCTTATAAACCACCAGATTACCCTAGGAGCTGGTAACCTGGCTCAAGGGCAACACAGGGCAGGAAAGACAGAGTATTCCAGAGTGCGAGTCTCAGCTCTCCCGCTGGCCAGATGGGTGGCCTCAGAAAAGCAATTTTGACTCCCTGACTGCCGGATTATTTTGGAACTCAAGTAGGAGAAGCTGTCACTCCCTAAACGCCTCCTTTTCTGTTAGGTTGTCATCACAATTCTGCCTGCACCAGGACCCGGGAGGGAGAACCCACCTTGCACATCAGCATAGACCTGGAGGACATCAGCGTGGGAGGGGATGGTGGGAGGCCTACTACACAGCCTGCGCCAGAACCAGGAGACAGTGGTGGCCACACCCAAGTCCCTGTGCCCTGGAGAAGGAGAGGGGAGTCAGGTACCTGAGCCTTGTAAGTTAGGGTGAGAACTCAGTTCCCAGAATCCAGAGCACTGTTCTGGTGTGCTAAGAGTCCAATGCTCAAGTGCATAGGGCCAAAGAGGCGATGGCAGGAGTCAGGGAGTGCTGGCATGCAGGCTGCCTGGAGGAGGTGGCCACTGAGTCTGATGGGAGGAAAGCCCAGAGAGAACGGCACAGGTTGAGACCAGGATCAGGTGGGAGGTGGGCCCTGGACCTCACTCACCCCCACGGCAGGCCTGAAGCAGGAAAATCTTGGGGCAACCCTGCAGCGCCTCACAGCGGCTAAGCTCTAGCAGCAGGGCCTCTGGTTGCACCTCCTGCCCATCTGCCCCCAACAACCGTCCCTGCGGACCACCATGAGCCATCAGGGCCACCAAGGCGCAGCTCACAGGGTCCCTGCAGGTGGTCAGCTGCTCCTGGAACTTGGCCAACTCCTCTTGAAAAGCCTTGGGTGGGCAGGGAGAGAGATTGAGGGATTTCTCCATGAGGCCCGAGGCTGGCAGGGGGTAAGAGGTAGCTCCTGCCCCTGCCCACCCTGCCTGGGGGAGGCCCTTCTTGGACCCCCTTCTGCAAGGCTAGGCATTGCCTCATCTCCCACTGCCATCGAGTTGATTCCAATTCACAAAGCCTCTCTAGGATGGTAGAACCGCCCCACAGGGCTTCCAAGGCCATCAATATTGATAGACACATCCTTCTCCCTCAGAGCAGTTAGTGGGTTCAAACCACCAACCTTTCAGTTCAATGCTTAAGCATGCATATAGACCAGCCTCCACAGCTGGTACCCTCTGGCCCCCACAGGGAAGCTACCAGCAAGTTCAGAGATGTAAGGACAGCAGGCTGGGGAGTGTCCAGGAAGGAAATCAAGATGCTTGGGTGTAAAGCTGGAGGGTCCAGCAGGGGCCTTGCACTGGGAGGCTGCAGGAACCCTGGGCTGTGAGTTCCAAAGGCATGCAGCAGGGAAGATGGAAGCTAGACTTCTGGAAGCACTTCCGGCCCTAGGTACTAGGTGAGGGATGCCCTTTCCAGAAGTTCCATCTCCCGTTACCTGGGCTGTAGGGTCTGTTCTCACAGTAGTCTCAAAGCCCAAGGTCTGGCATAGGCTCCCCAGAGCTTCCATGTCACACTGGGCCCCGGGCCGGCCTCGGATCATACCCAGGAGGAGAGCCACTCGGACTCCAGACAGGTCATACTGGGCCTTCAGGCCAGAGTCCAGCTGCAAGGAGGGTGAAGGCCTGTTCAAAGTGGTCAGATAGAATGCCTTGTCTCCCCCACCTTGGGGTGCCCTCTATGTACCAGTTTCAGCTGCAGCCACAGGATTGAACCCCCTCCCCGGCCCGCTCACCTCAGACTCCCAGGCCTGCACATTTCCCAGGCACAGTGCACCCCTCAAGGAGCTTCGAAGAACCGGGCAGAAGGTGCCTCCTGCGGACTCAGTCACCCTCCGGAAGACCTGGGGGTGGCCAGAGGGGTCCCAACCCAAGCAGGAAGTCAGGGTCCTGACTTCTTTGGAGTTACCACCAGAATGGAGGGAGAAGGGGGCAGACAAGAGAGGGGAAAGGCAAGACAGAGCACTCTGACCCTGAGTGTTATTTCAGGCTCCAGGCCATGGACTTGCCTGGCCAGGGTGGACAGTAGCCACACCACTCACACACCCTGTGCATGGGAGTGGGAGCTCCCTAGGTCAGGCAGGGCACAGTTCACCACCACCACCCCGTGTGATCCTGGGGATTCATGGAGAGCAGAGCTGAGTCCACATCTTTCACCTCTAGGGGTCCCCCAACTCCCCAGAGAGACTTGGAAGCCTGAGCCATTCCTGAGCATGGGCAGTCTGCACCTGCATGTGTTCGGGAGAGGTGGGCCAAGGGCAACCCTTTGCCCTGGACAAGCACTGCCGACAGTCCCTGAGGGCACTGTGGCTGGTGAGGGAACCAGGGACATGGGGGCAGGGGAGGGGTGGGAGCCAGCAGGAGCAATAGCTTCTTGGAGAAAGGCATGGGGGATGAGGAGCAGTCCACGTGGTGGTGAGGGGGACCTGAGTGTTTCATGAGTGAGGGCACACTGTAGGATGGGAGGGGACACATGGGACACAATGGGGCAATGATAGGACTCTGCCCTAGTGGCAGGCTCAGGAGTGCCCAGCACAGTCCCCTTCCCTATTTCCTTTCTTGACCCCCACCTCTGTCAACAGCTGCAGCAGAGACCAGTGAGGACAGTGACCACAGAGCTCAGCCAGGTGGTGGAGGAAGCTTCCGGACTCTGGGGTGACTGGGGAAGAGGTGACAGACACATGCGCATGAAGGAAGGGAAGCAGATCTCAGAAGCTCCCAGTTCTGCCAGGGGTCCCTGTCCTCCTCTCCAGCCCACTCACCCCCTGGAGCGATCGACAGTAGCAAGAAGAGCTTGGGGCAGCCCCAAAGGACCCCACAGCCATTCAGCTCCTGGGCCAGCTTCAGGGGCCACCTCAGCTGCCCACGGAGGGTCACCAAGGCCACCAAGGTACAGCTGATGGGGTCCCCTTGGGCATCCAGCTGCTCCCGGAATTGAACTAACTCCTCCGAAAAGCTCTGGGGGCAAGAGCAAGTTGCGGCCTTAGGTCCTAGGGAGGGTGCTGTCCCCAGGGCTAGGGGTGGTTGCCGAGCTCACCTGGACAGGGACCACCTTCTGCTCCAGACTCTCAAAGCCCAGGGCCCGCAGCACGCCCTCCAGGGCAGCGATGGTGACAGCCGGCACCCCTGGGCTGCTGAGCATCAGGGCCACCCTTGGGTGCAGCACACTGTACCTTCCCTGGGGAAGCAAGGCCGGGGTTAGGCTGGACCAGGTATAGCCGGGAGTCAGACATGAGCTGGGCCAGACTTCCTGCTACCTTCCTGCCCAGGCTCTCCCGAATATCTGCCATCTGCACAGCCACCCGCAGAGTCCCGGCTACCAGGAAGGCCATGACGCTGAGCCGCTGGGACCTTCTCCAAGTTCCCCTCTAAGCTCTGGCTCCCAGACCTGGGTTCCAACCCTTGCCCTCTCCGGAAGCCACGTTCCTATCAGTTGTTTATAAGCTGGCCTGGACTCTCGTCCCCAACCCTGCACCAGAGGACGTTCTAGCTGGCACTCTATGCTCCACCAGGTCTATTCTTAGTTCCTGGCCCCCGCTTCTTCCTATCTGATCTCGCTACACCTGAGAGCTCTCCTTGGAGTGGCCGGTCTGTGTACTTGCTGATCCCTGAGGGTCTGAAGTGTGGAGCCCTGAACAGGGCAGTGGTGACAGTAGGCTAAAGGTCCTCAGCTGGGACTGTGGCCATCCAGAGGCTGTCATAAACCTCAGGAGGTGGGGGGTCTGGGCAGCTGAGGAAGAATCCTGGGGGGGGGGGGGGAGTGCGGTCACCAAGGGGCAAGAACATCTCATCTCCTGCCCACCCCTACCTCCCATCCAGAGGGAGCCACTGAGGCCATAGGGCCAGGACTCAGGAAGGGCTCAGCAGTTGGGGAGCCCAAGCAGCACCCACTGTGCATGTCTTATCCTGAGGACCCAGCAGGGGCCATCTGGAGTCACTGGCTGTTTCCTTCCAGGTAACCAGGGCAGGGCCAATCCATGGGTTCTCCTCCTGCCCCCCCAGCAGGACCACCAAAGTCTCTAGGTCACTTCAATGTTGTCTCTAAGGGTCTCTTCACATGACCAGAGGGAAAACACTGGCCTGGGGGAGCCCAGCTGCCCTGCTGGGCTCCTCAGCTCTGAAGCCCCTCACACTTCCTTCACTGGGTCCTACCAGGGTGGGGAGGGATGCCACCGGCTTCCCCACCCTGAGCTGTCCCAGGCCAGGTAGCATGTTGCAGAGGATAGGGGACTTGAACTGGAAGCCACCCTTTGGGGTCCAGTTAACCCAAAAGCCAGTATGTGGCTCAGCTAGGTGATGGCCCAGTGTCGTGTGTCAACGGGACAAATCAGGCCAGGAAGCCCATTCCTCCAACACCCCACCACCCCCACACACACACACACACACACAGAAAAACAGAACAGAGGAGCCTAGAGGGAGTCCCCACGTTTATTCAGGCCCTACGGTGTGCTGGGCTAAGGGTCTTGTCCCAGTTAACACACAACTACAAAGGGTGCCGACACAGGGAGGGAATGCATTACCTGAGGCCCAGCCCACCTGAGCCAGAGCCAGTGCTCCAGGAAAATGATGCCCAGACCTCCCAGGGGAGGGCCCGCCACTACCACAGCCCCACCACAGGTTAGTGGTGACCCCAGGGGCACAGCAAGGCACAGTGCTGACAGGGCAAAGGTGACAGGGTACAGAGGGCTCCTGCTCCACTCTGAGGGGAAGCAGGCTCAGCCTGTGGCCTCATCCAGGACCCAAACCCTCATGGGGATGGGGTGAGGGGGAATGGCAGGGGCTTATGGCCCAACCATGTGCCCACCCAAGACAGCAGGGGGCAGAGTTCCGGGTCAAAGGCAGATGAGCAGCCTGTCCCAGCCATCCACCATCACTGGCAAGGGCAGCCAGAAGGGAGGGGCATGGTGCCAAGGAGAACAGGGAGAGGGCTCCATTCCTGGGAGAACAGAGCACGGTGTTCACGGAGGCCTAGCCGGGATGAGGAGTGTCCGGCAGCCTGGCAGCAACACGAGCCTGCCCGCTCAGCCCACTGGCTGGGCCATCTTGGCGTGCAGGCTCTGGTGGGCGATGAGGTGGGCACGCTGCTTGAAGCTCTTGTCGCACTCTCCGCAGCCGAAGGGCCGCTCGCCTGTATGCACGCGCCGGTGGTCCAGCAGGTAGGAGCGCAGCGAGAAGCTCTTGCCGCAGTCCGGACAGGAGAAGGGCTTCTCGCCCGTGTGGATGCGCTGGTGGTCGGCCAGGTAGGCGCTGCGGCTGAAGCTCTTGCCGCACTCAGGGCAGGAAAAGGGCTTCTGGCCCGTGTGCACTCCCTGGTGGCGTGCCAGGTCGGAGGAGCTGCGGAAGCTGCGGTCACACTGCCGGCACTTGTGCGGCTTCTCGCCCGTGTGCGTGCGCTGGTGTCGCGCCAGGTCAGAGCCCCAGCGGAAGCGCTTGTCGCACTGTCCGCAGCTGTGCGGCTTCTCAGCGGCCAGGTCCCGGAACTGCCGCCTGCGCGTGGGTGGCCGCCCCTTCCGCGCCGCCCCCACCGGACCCGGCTGCACCCCCCGCTGGTTCTCGTTCTCCCAGCTCTCGGCCTCCTCAGGGCTCCAGGACACAACTGTGCCACCGCCAGCCTGGCAGGGTGCTACAGCCTCCTCCTCCAGTCGGGACCGTGTGTTCTGGCTTTTGAGCCCCAAACCTACAAAAAAGAAAAGGTGAGGCGGCCTCCTCAGTCGCGCTGGGTTTGGGGACAGCATGGCACCTCAGTATCCCCATCTATAAAATGGGCACAATGCCACAACATCAAAACAGCTCAGAGTTTAGGGCAGGGTGTCCAGCAGCTCTGTCCTGCCCATGGAGGTGCTTAGACAAGTCACCTGAATCCAATGTCCTATCTCTGACCCCTGACCACACTCCAAATTGGAACAGACTCACCTCCATGGAGTTGGAGGAAAACGTGGACCAAAACTGGAATTTATATAAAAGACTACATGGGAGGAGCCCCAAGACTGTGGTCCCCATGCAAACTGGAACTGAACTCACCCCCAGGAACCATCTTTCAGTCCCACAATAGGCAGGCTTATAAACAGGAGAGCAGTAACATCCGAGATACAGTGAAGAGAAGACAGTCAACCACAGAAGACCAACAGGGCAGCATTTGCCGGGATAAGGCTCAGAAGAGACAGGAAACAAAGGGACCAAATGGTTCTGACATGGTTTCTCTCAGGACACAAATGCTTGGGTGGGGAGAGATCCTGCCCTATCAGATCATAAGGATTAGATGAGGTGACCCCCAAACAGTGCTTAGGAAATCCTGGCTTGGAAACCAAAGCCAAACCACTGAGGTCAAGTCACTTCCAGCTCACAGGACAGACAACGGCCTGCAGCGTCTCCAAAGCTGCAATCTGTACCTGGGAAGCAAACTTCCTTTCCCTGAGCGGCTGGTGGGTTAGAAGTGCTGATGCTCTTGTCAGCAATGGGACACTTTAACCACTGCATCACCATGCCCCTCTTGGTTGGGAAACGTACCCTGAAAACGGGAAGGCTAGCTACGAGTAGGATCAGCACTGGACTGCTAACCACAAGACTGGTGGTTCAAACCCACCAGCTGCTCCTTGGAAAGCTAGACAGGCCCGTCACTAGGAGTCAGAATTGACCCAATGGCACTTGACTGCAACAGCTTACGAGGCTGTCCTTGCAGACAGCAGGCACGTCCCCTGTGTCACTGCACCAGACCCAGATGCAGAGCTGGCCCGCTTCATCATAACTGATGGCTTTTGAGGCCCAGCTCTGCCCTGCCAGGGCCAGGTCTCAGTCTCCTTATCTGTGAGATGGGGACGAAATGCCACTGCACTAGACAGTGAGGAATCCACTGGAGGACGGCACACCGCCAGTGTCCCACCACATGTTCTGCATGCTAGGAGGTGCAGGGACCTGATGAGTGACCGCAGTAGATGTCAGACAGACACTAAGACCAGGGGAAGCCCCACTGGCAGCCAGGCCTGGATGAGTGGGACAGGACAGCGCGGCCTGCTGGGCTGGGGAGGCTGCAGCCCTCATCTAAGAGGCACTGACTGCCATCACTGCTTACCCAGGGTGACATTCCGAGAGTTCTCCCGCTTTATATCCCAGAAGAGATCCCTCTGAGCGGGCTCCAGAGACCCCCATTCTTCCTGAGAGAAGTAGAAGGGAACGTCCCCCAACGTCACAGGTGCCTGGAATGAGGCGAAGTGGCTTAACGCTGCCTGGCTCAGGCCTCCCCGGGCAGGACCAGGGTCGATGCGAGAGGCTGCTACTCACATGAAGTCCAGTGGCAAGGCGGGCATCCGAGGTCTCTCTGGAACGCCCCTCTTTAAGAGTAAGCTGGGCTGAGAGGAAAGAAGAGAGCCTCAGGGAGGTCAGCTCAGGCTGGGACAGAACCCCTCAGAGCTTCCCCTGCTCAGACAGATGTCCACTCCAGACCAGCACACACACTCAGACTCTCACACCCAGACACACACACTCACCATACCCGGCCAGACTCTCACACCCAGAGACACACAAACTCATCACACCCAACCAGACTCTCACACCCAGACACATACAAATTCACCACACCCGGCCAGACTCTCACACCCAGACACACACAAACTCATCACACCCGGCCAGACTCTCACACCCAGACACACACAAGCTCACCACACCCAGACACACACAAACTCACCACACCCGGCCAGATACTCACACCCAGACACACACAAGCTCACCACACCCGACCAGACTCTCACACCCAGACACACACAAGCTCACCACACCCGGCCAGACACTCACACCCAGACACACACAAACTCACCACACCCAGCCCACGCGCCCCCAGCACCCCCTACACACATATGCATACACACAGAGACACAGGTGCCTGATTGCATGGAGGCAGTGAACCCCTGAGCACTAGGCAGAGACCTACTCACCACCATGACTGGGCTGCTCCACCTTTGGGGGCGGCCCCTTGGCCTGGCTTCCCTGGACCTCGGCCTTGGCTTCCGACTCCTCTGGAGGCACATCCTGTGCAGGAACCACAACATGCTCGTCAGCACGGAGCCCAGAGCGGGCTAGACAGAGTCTAATCCCTGGGAAGGAGACACAGGAGAGGTCTCAGGGTGTGGGGCTGCGTGTGGGGACAATCCAGAGCAGAGTGTGACACCAGGATGGGTTGTGCATCTAGGACCAGCAAGGGACGTGGAGGGTCCCTGCTGCCAGGACAAAAGCCCACATTTAGCCCCTCTCACTACCCGCCCCCCCCCGACGTCTCCAGTGTCAAGACCCATCACCTCACAAGACAGTGGGCTCCTGCAGATGCTCGACCTGCTCAGAGCCCTCTGATGGTACCTGTCACTGGACACCAGGGTCTGGCCCAGAGCAGGACATTAACAGGCCGGGGTAGAGCCTGTGTGTGGCAGAACCCTGCCTCCCTGAGGCCCATAGCTGCCTTCCCTCTGCAGCCCCTGAGAAGAACCCCATTTCTTTCTGAGGGTATTCTTCAGAGAATCATCACGTGCCTATCGTTCCCCTGGCCCATGGGGCTGGTGGGGGACCTGGCTCTGCATGTGGCCTTGCCCTTCAACCCAGGGGTCATTTGAGGGCCCCTCCCCCACTCCACCCAGAAATGGATGTGGAGGGCCCCCCTTACTTGCTGCCTGGCTTTCCCAGGCTGCTTCTGCAGGTCTTCTACCCAGGCGACAGCTTCCTCGCCACTCCCTGGGCCCCGCTCTCGCACTCGGCCCTGGACAGCCCCGGGCAGCACGCTCAGGAATTGTTCCAGCACCAACAGCTCCAGCATCTGCTCCTTGGTGCGCAGCTCGGGCCGCAGCCAGCGGCAGCACAGCTCCCAGAGCTGGCTGAAGGCCTCGTGGGGCCCCCCTGCATCCCGGTAGGAGAACTGCCGGAAGCGCTGGCGGCAGCTCTCGGTGTCCTTGCTGTCGTCTGGCTGGGCACAGTCCTGTTCCCAAGAGGACTCCTCCACCTTCACAATCAGAAGTCCTTCTCCCTCCTCCAGGGCCTGGAGCTCCGGGGGGGCTGCCATTCCCCTGGTCTTAGTCTTAACCAGGCCCAAGCCTGCCCCTCAGTCTCCCAGAAGACTCTCCCGTCGCAGCCGGGGCAACATCTGGACCCACGTTCCTACGGACAGAGCAGAACAGCACAATGGACTGGAGGGACCTAGGGACCCCCGCTGCTGTCCTTCAGTGACCCTGAAGTCTGTTTAGCTGCAGTCATGGACTGTATTGTGTCTCCCCCAAAATATTTGTCAACATGGCTGGGTCGTGATTCTCAGTGGTTTAACAGTTTGCGATGAAGTAATCTGGCAGGTGTGGAATCTTCCCCCATAATGGGGAGCAACCGATCGATGATAATGGGTCTGGGTGGTCTACAACACCCTTACTCAGGGCCCAGTCCTGGTTCAAGGTAAGAGGAGTTTAACTCGAGTGTGGCCTGAATCCCCTGCTATCTTACAAGAGATCAAAGAAAAGAAAGACACAGAGTGGGACCTCATTATCATTATCACCAGGGAAAAAGAGCTGGGATGGATCTGGGGCCCTGCATGGAGAACTCCTAGGCCCAGAGGAAGACTGATGCTCAGACACTTAGAGATGATCATGGAATGCTGAACCCACAGATGCTGAAAAGAGACCAGAGCTGTCATGTCTCCCCCAATGCTGACAGAAAGGGAAAGCCTTGCCCCTACAGCTGGCACTCTGGGTTTGGACTTCTAGCCTCTTAGACTGCGAAAGGATACATTCCTGTTGGTTAAAGCCATCCACTTTTAGCATTTCTCTTATGCCAGCTTTAGGTGCCTAAGACAGTTGCCTTCAAGCCACCAATCCACGGTGACCTCAGGTGTGAACTGCTCTGCCAAGTTTTCAAGCCCACCAGGCCTATCTTTAGAAACGCCTCAGGTGGGATGTACCTCCAAACCATGCAGCTAGTCCAATACTTAATCGTTTTCATGACCCAGTCCGCGCACAATGTAGGTGCAGACCCCAGGACCGCTGTGGGCAATGTGACTTATGATCCCTCCTATTTAACACTGTTTCTTCATTGGCTGGGCCATGAGGCTCCCGACAGGGATGTGCTCCAGTTTAACCAATTCCCTAGGGAGGCGTCTGACTTGTTTCCCAATCTTCTCTACGACACACTATGCACCTCATTTATTTCTTTCTTTCACGTCTCCAACACCGTTCTCATCCGCCATTGATGGAAGAGACGCGCCGCCCGCAGGATCAGAGACTCACCAGGATCGTGGCAGGAAGGAAAGGTGGCCCCGGACAGAGCCCCGCGTTCCGCCAGCAGCCAGGGGCCGAGGGGAGGGCGGCCGGGCGATGGGCAGGCTGTGGGCGCGCTCCGGGTGTTTGCCCCAAAACCAAGAGCGCGGGGGGCGCCCCGAGCTGCTGCCAGCACTTCCTAGCGGCGTGCCCCCCGTCCACCTCCGCCTCAGGACACCAGTCCTGCCCCAAGTCCCGCGTGTCCCCTGCTGAGCGCGGCTGCCCAAGTCACTGGTGCCCGCCCCTGACACATTCAGCGTCCACTACCGCCCAGGCGTTCCCAGTTACATCGATAGATACCGACGCCGGAAACCCGCGCTGGGGTCGCTGGGAAACCGCACGGCGCACGCGCCCTTACAAGCATTCAAAACTACACCCCCCACAAGGCCGTTCGTCTGTCGCGCCTGCCTTCTCCCCGAGTAACGGCCGATGAACCGGGACAAGGCTAATCAGAAAGTAGCGACACCCGTGAGCACTGGATCAAAAACCGAGGGCTGCGTCCTCCTTTTCTTTTCGTTTTCTGTACCCTCTGAGGGGCGGAGACGACTGCTGGCCCAGACGCAAGTGGAGCGCCCGCCGGAAGGGATGCCCAGGGCTAAGTTGGTTCTGCTCGGTCTCTTTCCGCTAGAGGGACTATGTCAACTGAGAGGGCCCTCGAGCGTGGTCGGGGAAACCCGTTTCCAGCCTTTCGTGCCCCGCCCCATCCCGTCCCAAGTCTTTAGCAACAAGTGGGTCGTTGGGACCTACCCAAAGACTCGGGCAGAAACTTGGAGATCTGCTCCCATGAAGATTACAGCCTTGTCACGTTGAGTTGCTAGGAGTTGCAAGTCGACTGGAGAACGCAATAGCAGAGGGGCGTGGAGCTTTCTAGGAAATGCCATCCAAGGTGACACGCAGCCGTGTCTAGCTGGCCAGCGCTTACTCACAGATTCACCGCGGGCAGCTGAAGCGTCCGCCGGGTCCCTGGGCCCAGAAAGATCTGAAAGATGCGGACCTTTGGGAAGTTCAGAGTTCTCTCTGCGGTGGCATTTGGATGCACTTCTAGCTCTACATCTTAACCCGAAGATTTAAGTGAAAAACGCTTGCTTGATTTTTAAGAATTTATTATGCAAGTATTGTATCCTCAGTATAGAAAGTTAAGAATGTAAAAGTATTTATCTCCATATACACAAGGCCAGTTCCCTCTCTCCTCAAATGTCACTCCCTCAAAGAGGCCTTCCCTAACCTGTGTGGATAGCTCCCCCACCTTATTTTTCTTCTTAACATGTTTCCCGATGGGGGCGGGGGTAGAAATGGGTAGAAAATGGAGTTAAAAGATAATGGAAATCCCCAACGACCTTTTTGAAGCCACGTCATATATGGAATACTGGTGTGGCGCTGTAGGATCAGCACTGGACTGTGAACAACAAAGTCAGCAGTTCAAACCCACCAGCTGCTCCTCAGAAACCCTATACAGGGTCACTATGAACTGAAACCGATTTAACAGCATTCACCAACAACATTCAAGTATCAACTCCATGAGGGTTGGCACTGTTTTTATGACTTTCTCCTAGCACCTAGAATTGTGGTTGGAGCAAGGTAGGGGTTCAATAAATATTTGTTATAATCCAGAAATAAGAACTGTGAATCTTTTAGTCTGTATTCTTGAAGTTCTACATCTATGAAGATATTTCTAATAAAAATTGGCATGGATCTATAAGTAATGTTTTATTGTTGTTGTTATATGCCGTGGAGTCGGTTCCGACTCATAATGACCCTGTACAGGGTTTCCGAGGCTGTAAATCTTTACGGGAGTAGGAAGCCCCATCTTTCTCCCGCGGAGCAGCTGGTAGTTTCTAACTGCTAACCTTGCGGTTCACAGCTTGATTGATAACCATTACGCTACCAGAGTTCCTTATATTAGCATTTATAAATAAAATTTGCAAGCTGTAAAGGATGAATGCATTTGAATCATGGTGTTGACAAAGAATATTGACTATATCATGGACTGCCAAAAGAATGAATAAATCTGTCTTGGAATAAGTACTGCCAGAGTGCTTTTTGGAGCTGAGGATGGTGAGACTTTCTCTCATATGCCTTGGACACGTGATCTGGAGGGACCAGTTCCTGGAGAAGACTTCATGCTTAGGAAACTAGAGCATCAGTGACAAAGAGAAAGATCCTCAAAGAGCTGGTCTGACACAATGGCTGTATCAATGGGCTCACACAGAGCAATGATGTGAGGCTGCTGCGGGACTGGGCTGCCTGGTTCTTTTGTACATACAGTTGCTATAACTCACAGTGAACTTGATAGCAGTGAATCTGGTTTCCTTGGGGGTGATTTAAAGGAGCCTTACTGGCACAGTGGTTAAGCACTGGATTGCCAACTCCCAGGTCAGCAGTTAGAATCCACCAGCTGCTCCTTTGGAGAAAGAGTGACAGTCTGCCACTGGTATCCTATAGGGCAGTCTTACTCTGTCCTATAGGGTAGTTATGAGTTTAAATCCACTTTAAGGCAACAAGCTTGGTCTGGGGTTAATCCAGGACAATCTCTCAATGTCACAATCCTTAATCATATACATTTTCCCTTAAAAAGTTCCAGGGATTAGCACTGGAGAGCTCTGTTGTTAAGTGCTGTGGAGTTGGTTCCAACTCATATCAATACAGGGTTTCCAAGGTTGTAAATCTTTTCAGGAGCAGAAAGCCTCATCTTTCTCCGATGGAGAAGCCAATGGGTTTGAATCACTAACCTTGTGGTTCACAGTCCTGTGTTTATCTTACAGAGCCACCACGCTCCGTTCTGATAGTTTTGGGGGCTATTATTCAATTAGCCCACCCAGGGTCTTTTAAGGCTGCATTTCAGTTTATAATCTCTAGCGGTGAAAAATGAAGACCAGTTCTTAAGTCAAATGACTTTTCTCCAAACAGATCATTTCAGTATTCATCTATCTGAGCCATTTTTCATTTAGCAGAGACACGATGGAATGGTCTTAAACTGTATCCTCAGCTTTTGTGATATACTTGGAAGATGGCTTACTCACATGACTGTTAGGCAGGAGACCTCAGTTCTTCCCCATGTGGCTCTCTCCAGAGCAGAAGACAACTTGAGAAACCATTTGCCAAATGATCTAAAACCTTCCAATTTTGAGTGGATTTCCTTGTTCCTTGGGTTATATGACCCAAGCAATTCAATGGTGCTTGAAGTGTCCTTTTGCTGTAAAATCTGCGGTTCAAGCTCACCAGCTGCTCCTCGGAAACCCTATACAGGATCACTGTGAGTCAGAATCGACTTGACGGCACTTAACAACAACAACATGGCACTGCGGGCTAATGCGTTGGACTGCAAAGCCGTCAATTCAAGCTCACCAGCCACTCCTCAGAAACCTGATACAGGATCACTATGGGTTGGAACCGACTTGAAGGCACTTAACAACAACAACAATAGATGAATCATGGAGTCCTGGTGTGGCTCTGTGGGTTAAAGCGCTGAACTGTAAGGTCAACAATTCAAACTCACCAACTGCTTCTCAGAAGCCCTATACAGAGTTGCTATGAGTTGGAACCGATTCAACGACACTTTACAGTAACAACATAGATGAATCATAACAGACAGTTTTTGAGCAAAACTGGCCATTCTCCACATCTTTTATCATATTACTGGCCAAGTTGTCATGTGACCTTAACTTTTCATTCATAAAAAGTGTGTAAAAGGTAGAAAACCTGAACAGACCAATAACAAAAGAAATAGATCAGGTCATCAAAAGACTCCCAACCAAAAAAAGCCCAGGCCCAGACGGCTTCACTAGTGAATTCTACCAAACATTCAGGGAAGAGCTGTCACCAATTCTACTCAAATTATTCCAAAATATAGAGGAGGATGGAAAACTTCCTAATACATTTTATGAAGCAAGCATAACCCTCATACCAAAACCAGAGAAGGACGCCACTAAGAAAGAAAACTATAGACCAATATCCCTCATGAACATAGATGCAAAAATTCTCAACAAAATACTAGCCAACAGACTCCAGCAACACATCAAGAAGATAATACATCATGATCAACTGGGATTCATATCAGGAATGCAAGGATGGTTCAACATTAGAAAAATGATCAATGTTATCCACCATATAAATAAGAAAAAAGAAAAGAACCACATGATCATATCAATTGATGCAGAAAAGGCATTTGACAAAATCCAACATCCATTCCTGATAAAAACACTCAACAAAATAGGAATCGAATATTACTCTCAATGGAGAGAAATTGAAAGCCTCCCCTCTGCGAACAGGAACCAGACAAGGATGCCCTCTGTCACCACTTCTATTCAATATTGGGCTGGAAATCTTAGCAAGAGCTATACGGCTAGACAGGGAAATTAAAGGCATCCAAATTGGCAAAGAGGAGGGAAAGCTCTCCCTATTTGCAGACGATATGATCCTATATATAAAAAACCCCAAAGACTCAGTCAAAAAGCTACTAGACCTCATTGGAAGATTTAGCAAAGTGGAGAGCTTGGCTAGTCACATCTCTAAGATAGGCACTCACTACATAAACGTGGTTGGGTAAAGCTTTACAGCGCCATTCCCATGGCCTTTGGACAGTGGTGGGCTCCTTAGGTCGGGCTCCACTGAAGGTAAAGGACAGCTGAGATCCAGACGTGATCCTAGCCTGGGAGCACTGCCAGCCATGTCCTTTCTAGGACTTCAGGAGACTTGGAGTCTCGGTGGTAGAGCCTGTGGAAACTGAGGCACCAGGGCTCGAAACCCTGCTGGCTCTAAGTTAGCTATGAACCCAGGTGTCCAATCTTGGTGGTGGTTTGTTGCTGTGGTAACGAGAACACGATTGGGAACTGCTTCGATGCAGTTGACCAGGAAACCCAGGAAGGGTTTGGGGACAGGAAAGTGATGTATCCATTTGAACTACAAGGTTGGCAGTTCATACTCACCAGCCGCTCCTCAGAAACTCTGGATAGGGTCGTATGAGTTGGAATCAACAACACTTAACAACAGGGCATCCTGGTGTGGCACTGTAGGATAAAGCGCTGGACTGCAAGGTCGGAGATTCAAACCCATTAGCTCCGAAACCCTATACGGGGTAGCTATGAGTCACAACTGATTCAATGTCACTTAACACGCCGGGAGGGACTGTCCCAGCAGAGTTGTGCACAGGCACATAATCCTGCGGGGATTGATCAATTTAGCCGGCACTGTCATTGCCTCCCACCCCCACCCCCAGGGCAGAGGAACAGAGCACCTGGATTCAGCCAATGGTACCCCTAAAAGGACCGTTTCTGGGTCAACAGAGAAAGGGGTAGAAATTCACAATGGAAATATTGTTTCCTCTGCGTTCACCCCAACCACCTGACACCTACCTAGCTCGGATCCAGTTCTCCAGTGACCAATAAGCTGGCATTCCAGTGAGCTAAAACTTGCAGCTTTCTCACCCTCTCCCTAGAGCACTAAGACCCTTCTATGCCTCTCACCTCTCAATGCCCTTCCACCAACCATGAGTACCCTTCAAGTCTTCCACAGCACTGTCCCCAGCTACCTGCTTTGTCTTATTTGCCCTGGTCAAATAATTTCCAAACTGTCAACTTCCACTCTAAAACCACCACCATTCTGGGGCAGATCACTCAATAGACTTCGTAAGTTCAAATCCTGACACCTGGCCAATGAAGCTCAAGGAAGCGATTAGACCTTCTGCCTTCAAAACTAGCACCGCCCAGTGTGTACTCATAAAACAAGGCGTGGAGCTGGGAACGAGGCTTTCTTCTGCCTGTGCTCCTCTTTATGAAAGTCAGCTCTTTAACAGCAACAACCCTGCTTGACATCCTGGAGTCCCTTCAGGCCCTCCCACTAGGCCAAACAGAGAAATTCCATCTCTGGCTGAGTAACAGGAGCCAGACAAGCTGAAGGCTTCCTAGCCTCTTGGAGAAATAAAGACCTAACTCACCCTGTCCTACCAGCTCAACCTTGGCTTCCCTACACCTCCCAGACCCCACCCTGTCACACTAAGGGCACCTGGCCTGCAGGATTCCTGGCGTCTGCCCCTCTGCCCGGCGCCGCCCTCCAGCCAAGTCCCAAGTGCCTGAAGGTCCAGACTGTTATCTGCATGATCGGTTTTTATTGAACACTGAAGGGCTATCCAGGTGTCCGGAAACGGTCATTCTATACATTCCTCTATGACAGTACCCAACCTGGACAATTCCAACATCCAGCTCTCTGGTGGAGACTTTGGGGGTGTTCTGGACATCTGCTCAGCCTGTTTTCATGTCTATATAGCTGGGATGCCACCCCCCGACCCCCTACCACCGCTTAGAGCTGTGGGTGAGGGCTGAGGAGACGTACCAGTGGGACTTAGTTAGTTCTACGCTTGCCACTGAGCAGCTAGTCAACAACTGGTGGCTACAATTACTATTTTGGAAGTGTCCTGCTCAAGCTGCTGTACCATTCAGGAGCTAGGAGCCATCAGGGTTGTGGCTGCCTCTGCTGACCTCGGGACCCACGGAGACAGGTGGGGTGGCTCCAGCTTCCGGGCACAGGCAGAAGTTCGGCAGGTCCATTGGTGTCCGCGCTCAATGTTGTTTGGGGGGTTGAGGCACATATTGGGAAGAGCAGCAGACTGAACCCGCCCCTCCCCAGGAACAAAGTTATAGAAGGGGAAACAGAAGCTACAGAGGTGGAAACCGGGGTGGGGGTGGGAGGGTAGAGACTGGAGAGATGGAGCCAGGCAGGGGTGGGGCAGACAAATGACAAGAGGGCACGTGTGACAAGGCCAAGGAGGTGAGAGTAGCGGAAGATCACAGTGACCCAGGAAGCGGGGTCTCTTCTCTGGCTGTGGCCGGGCCCCAGTGGACGCAGATGGCAAATGCCCACACGTTACAGTCTGTCCCCAGAGGCCGACAGGAAGTGAGACGGGTGGGGGTAAGGCCAAGTGAAGTGTTTCTGAGCTAGCACCTCCCTGCTCTACTATCCCAAATCCCAAGGAACAGAGCCAAGCCAGAACCTGGGCTCCATGCAGTGCGCCTGGCCCAGGGAGACAGTAACGCAGACGGCCCGAGCTAGGCACACAGTTACCGACTGGGGAAGCCTGTGTGCATAGAGCCTTCAGCCAGTGAACTTGATTCCCAAGCTCAGGAACGAGCTTTGTCAGAGGGGCCTTGGCATAGATCAAGACTGGGAGGGGAGGGGGCTGAGGAGGGGGCCTGAGTGAAGACCCACAGGCGGTCAGGCGCCCCCATGCTTGATGTCCCCTGCAGGGCCCCTGAGACAGAGCTGTAGGCCATTGTTCAAATTCCAAGGCCTTTAATTTGCAGCTAAGGTGCGGGCTCCTCAGGCCCCAGCTCCTCCTGCTTTGCTACAAGCAACCCCATGCCAGCTGCCTGCCCAACTCCCTTCCGAAACCCTCCTCGCTCCTTCTGCTGCTGCCCTTGCTCTCCCCCAGAGCTCTGGCCCACTGTGGCAGCCTCCTTAGCCAACGATGATGCGGGTGGCGGCAGGGACACTGCCCCCGCCCCCAGCGCCTGCATGGCCAGGGCCCTAGGCCCCGTGGTGTGGGTCTTCTCATGCTGTTTCAGGTTGGAGCGGCGGCTGAAGCACTTGCCACACATGAAACAGGAGAAGGGCCGGAAGCCGTGGTGTGTGCGCTGGTGGGAGCTGAGATGGGAGCTATGGTTGAAGTTTTTGCCACACTCCAGGCAGTGGTAGGGTTTCTCGCCTGTGTGGATGCGGTTGTGGGCGATAAGGTTGGAGGGATGGCTGAAGCCTTTGCCACACACGGAGCAAGGGTAGGGCATGATGCCAGTGTGGATGCGCTGGTGGGTGACCAGGGCCGAGCTCTGGACGAAGCACTTGCCGCAGATGGGGCACTTATGGGGCTTGATGCCAGTGTGGATGCTCTGATGGGCGACCAGATCGGAGCGGCGGGCGAAGGGCCTGGCGCACAGATCACACACGTAGGGCTTCTCGCCGGTGTGGATGCGCTCGTGCTGGATCAGCGTGGAGTTGCGGGTGAAGCTCTTGCCACACAGGTGGCAGGAGTAAGGCCGGATACCCAGGTGCATGCGCTGGTGGGTGGTGAGGTGGGAGCTGTGGCTGAAGCACTTGCCGCAGTCCGGGCAGCCATAGGGCTTCTCGCCCGTGTGGATGCGTCTGTGTGCGTTGAGGTTGGAGCGGTTGCTGAAGACTTTGCCGCACTGCTCGCACTTCTGGATCTTCTTGATATAGTTGCTTCTGGTGGCCAGGCCCTGCTTGCTGCCCTCCACAAGGGTGCTGCGTTTCTCCTCGCTTCTCTCCACACCCACAGACTGGCTTCCCTCCTCGCTGCTCTCCATGGCAGTGTGTCTCTCCTCCTCACTGGGTTTCTCAGGAACGCCGCTCTCCCGGGGGTCCAGAAGGCTGGTGGCTGGCAGGGCTGGCTCCCGCTGCCCCTGATCCAGAGGCCTGGGCAGCCCGTCGTCCTCAGTCTGTCCTGAGCCCTGGCTACCAGCTGTGGGCTGGCCACACTGCAGGGTCACCCCTGGGGCTCTGCCTGCCCGGCTTCTGAAGGGCTTCACATCCCCAAAGGGAGCCGGGACTAGAGTCTCCTTGCCCACGTCCACAGCATCTGGGGAAAGAGGGTGGTGACCAGTGAGGGGCCCGGGGCTAAGTGGGGAGAGGATTCCAGGAGATAAGAAAGGACAGAGCCCTGGGAAGGCCCCAGAAGCAAGATCGTGTGGCTACGGTGGATGGGCAGCAGCAACCCAGCCCAGGGCAAGTCCTGGGAGAGTAACGACGGACCCCTCTATTCCCTGAGTCCTTACCTGTGCACACAACCGTCTTCTCCTCCTCGTCTCCTCTCTGCAGGCTGGAGCTGGAGGCCTCACCCTTCCCCTGCACATGGGAGGCCCAGAAAGGCCTGCTGCCGGAAACCCCTGGGAGAAAGACATAGTGTGCTCAGCCACAGGATACAGGGACCACCTAGCACCAGACCCCATCCCCCTACACACATACGCAGCATGGGGAAACCTGGGGCAGAACTGAAATGGGTACAAAAGTCACTGTTGAAGACTTCCAACAAAATGGCTGACAAGGCAGATGCACTCCACCGGCCCTCTACAACAAAGATACGAGAGAATCCCAACACAGATGACGTTCTGGAACCCTGTACTTCAGAGGAAAGGTTAGAGAGTGGATGGAGTGCTTGCTGGGAGGAGAAGCTGAGCTGAGCAGGGACAGTGAGAGACGGAGACTGGTGAACAGCTGGCCAGATGCAGTGAGACCATCTTGACCCTTTCTGAGCAGTTTTCACAGGTGACCTGGTAGAACAGCCACACAGGTGAGTGTTCCTTCTTTTCCCCATACTCCCCTGGTGACCTTAAGTGTGGCCATCCACACCCCCTACACCGCCCCTTCTCTCTACAAGTTCAGACACGTGGTTGGGAGTCACGCCAGCAGTAGGGGGACCACAGGTCACTCTGTGGCTGGATTCAGGCGGGCTCAGCATAGAAAGCCACCAGAGCAGCATTAAATAAGTCACTCTGCCCTCAGTTGCCCCGTGGTCCTAACAAGACACTGAAACCAGCTCCATCAGCGACTTCCAAGAACGACTTCCGGATTGAGGGCTCTGAAATATACTTAACACCGAGGCCAAAAGAAACTCCGTCTCAGGCCAGGAACTCTGTCACATTCTTCCCACACCCACCTTGGGAGCTCCTTGGCTTGTAGGGGCCCCCGCCCCCCGGAACTTTTCTCTCCAGGTCCAACCGCTGCACGGACTTTTATTTTTGGATTTCGTTTTGCCTTTTGTTGCTTCACTGTTTATTTTTCGCCTCTCATCATCCCTCTTCTTGTGTTTATCTTTCTTTACTACTCTCTACCTTTTCTCTTTGCAGTTTGCTTTTCTAAGGTTTTGATTTTATCCTGTTATTTCTTCTTCTATAGCTCCATTTTCCTGTAGCTCTTTTCTCTTTACTGTATTTGGTTTTTTACGGTACCTATATAGGGTTGCTATGGGTCGGAACCGACTCGATGGCACTTAACAACAACAAACCTATTTTTAATTCTTTTTTTCTCCTTCACTGTTTTTTCTTTTTATTGCTGGCTGCATGTGTGTTTGTTCTGTTTGCTTCCTGGTGTGTGTGTGGCGGGAAGAAGGATTTCTCCCTTTCCCACCCAACAGGAGACAGGATGTGTGTCCACATAGCCCAGCCATAATCAAACCTTCTGCAGCAACTCCAGCCATCAGGCAAGAGCCAATACCAGCTCCGACACCACCGGATGATTGACAGACAGTAGTTAACACTGGACACGCCCACCCTAACTCAGGGGCATGAACAGCAAACAGAGAACAGTGGCCGCTGCCATTCTCTGACTACACCTACAGGAGACAGTGGTGAGAGCCTGGAGGACACACCAACAGACAATTATCAATGAAATATAACTACAAAAACCCCACCACAAGGCCCCAGAGACAATAGACATTTTTAGCTCACACAAAGAAACACAACAGAATGGCACATATGACCAAGAAGCAAAACAAAACAGTTTCTTAAGGAGAAAAGGTAATGGAACTAACTGAAAAGGAACTCAGAAGAACGTTATTTTAGGTTTTCACGAAGAACACACAGAAAGATTGAGGAAAGCAAAGAAAACCTTTGGAAGATCTCAGGAAAGCACTATAAGAACAAAGAAATGCAAAATTTAAACAATTTAAAAATCTATGATTAGAAATTCCGAAGATCCAATAAGACTAAGCTCTGATTTCTCAGCAGAAACCATGCAGGCAAGGAGGCAATAGGATAGTGTATACAAAACTGAAAGAAAAAAATTACCAACCAAGAATCATACATCCAGCAAAGCTGTCTCTCAAAGATGATGAAATGTGGACATTTCCTGATCAACAGAAAGTAAAGGAATTTGTAATGACCAGATCAACTTTAGAAAATGCTAAAGGGTGTACTTTGGACTAAGAAACAGAAGAGCAGACAAAACCCTGAGATCACCCTACATGACACCACCATCCAGAACGCAATACAGATACAGAAGTATTTAAAGTAAATAAACCCACAAGTCTGAAAATCGGAAACCAGCGATATCAATGTATAATGAAGTCAACTACAAAGCAGACAGATACACTGTACATACAGCACTTCCAAATGGCAAGAAAGTCAAGTAGATTTCAAGATAAAATGAAAACCCACAAACAAAATTAACTCACTATAGAAAATTATTTGGAACAAAGACATCAGTAACAGCATAAAACACACACACATACACATGACATCAATCAGTTCATACCTACTGATAATTAACACTGAATGTAAACGATCAGCACCGGAACACAGACCATAAGATCAGCAGTTCAAACCCATCAGCTGCTCCTCAGAAACCCTATACTGTGTGGCTATGAGTCAGATCAGACTCAACAGCAGTTAACAACAAGTTAAGAGACATAAAGAGCAGAATGGATTTAAAAAACTGGATCCTTCAATATGTTGTCTTCAAGATACATATCAGAAAGATAAGAGATAACTAAGTGCCCATCAAAAGGATAATGGTTAAACAAACTTTGGTATACACACACAATAAAATAGTAAAAACTACAAAGAATACGACAAATCTAAGAAACACTTCACAACACTGTTGAACCTGGAGGGTGTTACGCTAAGTGAAATTAGTAAATCACAAAAGGACAAACATTGTATGAGACCCAATGTTGTAAAAGTTAAAAAAAGTTTTTTTTGATAAAAGAAAAAATCTATGATGGTTTCAGGGGGGTGGGGGAGTAGGAGAAAGGGAAAATTATTCATGGGCTAGTTAGTTAACGTGTTAACATGGATCCTAGGGTGAGCAATTACAAGGAGGAGGTCAGCAGAGGAAAGATGCAGTTAGGAAGACACAGAGAGGAATGTAATACAAATGCTGTTAACTGTTGGTACATGGAGGGGACTGCAATCATGTAACGAAGTCAAGTACGTTTGTGATTTGTTAAATACATACTAATAATGATCTGCTGTGTGAACTGAACCATCTTCCTTCAATTCAAAATAAAAAGTTGGAAAAAACAAAAACATGAAAAATGTATTTAATAACATTAAAAATACTATAAACCATCTTTTCAAAATACAATGCTATAAAATTAAAAATCAATAATAGGAAGACCAAGTAAAAAAAAATCAAATATATGGAAATTGAACAATATCCTGCTTAAAAACTACTGGTTAATAAATGAAAAAAAAAAACTTTTTTAATTCCTTGAGTCAAATGAGAACAAAATCACAACTTACCAAAACCTTTGGGACACAGGAAAAGCAGTGCTCAGAGGGCAATTTATAACAATAAATGTGCATATCCAAAAAGAAAGAACTAAATTCAACAACGTAAGCAAACATCTTCAACAATTAGAAAATGAGTAGCAAAGTAAGCCTACTACCACCAAAAGAAAAGAATTAATAAAGATTGCTACCGGTAGTGATAGTTGTGGGCCACGGAGTCAGTTCCGACTCATTGAGACCCTGTATAGGGTTTCTGAGGCTGTAAATCTTTACAGGAGCAGAAAGCCTCATCTTTCTCCTCCGGAGGAACTGATCATTAAAACTACTGATCTTTCTTCCGGTTAGCAGCCCAGCTTGTCATCCACTACGCTATCAGGGCTCCTTTAATAATAAAGACTAGAGCAGAAATAAATGAATCAGATAAAGAATCAACAAGACAACAATCCAACTCTGAAAAGATTAATAAATCAACAAACAATTGGCAAATCTAACAAAAGAGAAAGCGAAGATACAAAAAAACACAAATAAAAAATGATATGGGGGGGGCTAGAGCTGAGAGTGGAGCATCCAGCTGATATGAAGTGAGGGGAGATGCACAAGAACACTCAAACTTGCAGATAGTACCCATCTGACCTAGCTTCACAATGGCTTGAGCATCACAACTCCACTAAATGATAAAAATAACTGATAAAGGACACAAGTGTAAATTGCTACAATTTGATGAACTTGAACTATACTTATGGATGCAGTAGCTCAAAATACCAACTGAGAGGGAAGAAGTCCTCATCCTACCACCCTTCTGTGTGCAGGTGTGACAGGGACAGGCAACTTAAGACACTGGCTACCTAAAACGGAGGAGCTATAAAGGCACTAAGTGACTGGCTTACAAGTTTCCAAGCAGGAGTTTATAGTCTTAAGAGTGTGCAAGGAAAAGCAGAATCCCCATTGAATGGTTTTCATTTTGTCTACATGAGTCTGGTGAAAGGAGGTGGGATAAGATTCTTATGATTCAACAGTGAGTAGTGGTAATCATGAGTAATTGTGACTGTCACAACGGTAAAGGTATTAAGTTTTGTAAAATAAAGGGGAGAGTAGTTAATCTTACAGTCCAGAAAACAGAGGACCCTAGGGCCATCAAGAGAGAAGAGCATGAGCAGAATGTGGGACCCTATCCAGAGAAGCAGCAGCACCAGAGATGGAGGCAGAGATGAGGACATGGAGAGAGGGAGCAGCTGAGGACTCTAGACTCGTGGAAAGAGAAAGACTGTGTGTTGGTGGCCAGGAAGCAGGATTGCAGAATGTGCCCTTTGGTTGTTTAAATGATTATATATTTCTGAGTGTTTTGGTGTACATCCCCTTATTCCCCCCACCAAAAAATAAATAAAATAGAGGGAATAGAAGCAAATACTGTTGAATGATGACACACAGAGGGGATTGTAATCACTGCAATGAAACAATGAGTATAAAACTGATGTTCTCCCATGTGAACTATCACTCAATTCACAATAAAAAACTTTAGAAAAAAATATGGGTGATGCCATGACAAAACCAATGGAAATAAAAAGGATAATAACAGAATACTATGAAGAACTGTACTCTGACAAATTTGAAAAGCTAGAGGAAATGGGACAAATTTCTTCAAACACACAACCTACCTAAACTAGCACAGGCTGAAAAAGAAAACTTGTCAGTAAGAAACTGCCAACTAAAACAATGTTGTCCAGGCTCAGATGGCTTTACTGGTGAATTCAACCAAGCTTTCAGAGAAGAGCTGACATGAATTCTACTAAATTATTCCAGAATCTGGAGAAGGATGGGAAACTCTCAAATTCATCTTATGAAGCAAGCACAACTCTGATATGAAAATCAGGCAAAGACACCACTCTAAGAAAGGAAATTATAGACCAGTATTCCTCCTGAACATGGAGTCCTGATGTGGCCTGTGGGTTAATGCACCAGACTGCAAACCTGTTTGAACTGTAAGGTTGGCGGTTCAAGCTCACCAGCTGCTCCCGGGAAACGCTATACAGGGTCGCTATGGGTTGTAATCGACTTAACAGCACTTAACATTCCTCATGATCATAGACGCACAAATTCTCAACAAAATCATAGCAAACAGAATCCAATAATATATCCAAAAAATAACACATCATGATCAGGTGGAATTAATAGGGGTATACAGGGATGGTTTAATATTAGGAAAACAATCAGCCTAATCCACCACATAAATAAATCAAAGGAAACAAATGGCAAGGACATATCAAAGGACTACTCTCAAAAATTTATAGAACACCTCAACAATAAAACAAATCATCTAATTTAAAAGTAGGCTAATACATGCAACTTCAGGTGACAGAAAAACTTAATTTGCTAGAAAAATAAAAGAAGGATTAGGGGATGGAGACACAGGAGCTGAAATTTAAAATGGACTGGTCAGGGTAAGTGATATCCGAGCAAAGCATGAGGAAAAGGGTGCCCGGGAACAAAGACTGGAGCACCCATCCCCAGAACTGTGCTGGGCACTGGAGGGACAAACCAGTCCTGCTTCCAGTGAACTTTCATTTTACTGGGATGTAGTAATAAGAACCTAAAAGCATACTATGGTTTGTTTCCTGTCATCTTTGAATTAAATTCATAATATATATGGTAAGAGAGGAGTCATTGGTGAGGTATAGTCCTTCTTGCTGTCTCTTCAAACCGTAGAAGTTTATAGACTACTCAATTAGGTAGAGAACAGCAATTGTGTCCAGTCTTACTGATTACAAAAAAATTCATTCTTTTTCTCAGGTATACTTAAGCTGCTTAGCTTTATGGTGTTAACATAAAAAATTTTCACAGAAGCATACAGGTAAATTCATGCCTAGAAATAATCAATTGCATAGTATCTCACAGTTTGTCTAAGGCTACTGTACTTCTGGACTTAATAACTTTGGGATGTGGCTTGGAAATTTAAGGGAAATATGGAACTATTTTTGAAAATTTTTAATAAAAAGATACACTTGGGTAAGAAAGTAAAAAAAATAAATAAATGGGCCAAGGACATGAACAGATACTTCACCAAAGACACCAATCAGGTGACCAACAAGCATATAAAAAAAAAATGCACTCACTCACTACCATTAGTCATTGTTGTTGTTAAGTGCCATGGAGTCGACTCTGACCCATAACGACCCTGTATAGCATTTCCAAGGAGCAGCTGGTGAGCTTGAACCACCGACCTTGCAGTTCAAACGACTTTGCAGCCTGCATTAGCCATTGGTGGTGGTTATGTGCCGTTGAGTCAGTTCCGACTCATGGCGACCCAGTACAGGGTTTCCAAGGCTATCAATCTTTACGGGAGCAGAAAGCCTCATTAGCCATATGGAGATGCAAATCCAAACGAGAGATCATCTTACTTCAGCATTAACAGCAAAGTTCCGACAAACAGAAAACAGTAAATGCTGGCGTTGAAAACAGTACGGCACGTTCTCAAAAAGCTGGAACTAGAAAGAGCATGTTAGATAGGGACGGGCAACTTAGACACTGGCTATCTAAAATGAGAGGGCAATAAAGGCACGAAGTGACTGGCTTACAAGGTTTCAAAAGGGAGTTTAGTTTAAGAGTATGGGAGGAAAGAAAGGGTCCCCACTGAATAGCTGTCATCTTGTCTAGATGGGTCTGGTGAAAGGAGACGGGGATAAAATTTGTAAGATTCAATAGTGAGTAACTGTTATCATGACTAATTGTGACTCTCACAATTGTAAAGGTAGAAGTTTTGTAACAAAAAAAGGGGAGTGGTTAATCTTACAGTCCAGAAACAGAGGACCCTAGGACCATCAAGAGAGGAACACACAAATAGAATGCGGGACCTGATCCAGAGAAGCAGCGGCGCCAGAGATGGAGGCAGAGATGGGGGCATGGAGAGGGGGTGCAGCTGAGGACTCTAGATTCATGGACTAAGAAGAGACGGACTAAGAACTGGTGGCCAGGAGCAGACTTGCAGAATGTGCCCTTTGGAGATGTAAATTATTATATATGCCTGAGTGGGGTTTTTTGTTTGTGTGTTATTTAAAAAGCTAAAGTGGACAGAGAGAAATACTTTTAACTGATGGTATATGGAGGGGATTATAATCAATGTAATGAAACAAGTTACATGAAATGTTGAATGTGAAACTGACATGTGCCCTGTAAACTGTCACTCAATCCACAATAAAAACCTTACATTAAAAAAGAAAAAAGAAAGAGCATGTGACCCAGCAGCCCCTCTCCGCAGTACAGCCCCTCTCCGCAGTACAGCCCCTCACGCAGGAGGAACTGTGACACCATCCATCTATGCAGACCCATGTTCACTGGAGCACTGCTCACAACACAAGGAGATGGAGACAGCCTAAATGCCCATCAACAAATGAACGGCTACACAACAGAGTATTACACAACACTGAAGAAAAATAGAGACTCTGCAAAGCAACCTGTCAAAGTGGATGAACCCGGAAGACATTATGCTGAGTGACATTAGTCAACACCAAAGGACACAGATTCCATGTGATCACTGTTATAAAGTTAAGAACAATTTTACTCCAAGAAACATTCTATGATAACTACAGAGTGGGTGGGGAGGAGGGAAAACAGAACTGGTGGTCTATGGAGTGCCTAGCAACTACTGTAATGAGCTTAACTGGATACACAATGTGTTCAGTGTACTGATCTGCTCTGTAATTCACAATAACAAGGTTTTAAGAAGTCACTTTTGAGGAGGTTTTTACTTAGGGAGCATTACGTCCACAGTGGTGGAATGACCTGGAAAACAACAAGTGAGAACGGATACACAACTTGACAACTAGATTCCATGTCACTGAATGACACACAGTAGTTGAACTGGTGCATGTTTTGCTGTGAAAATCACAAGTAATTTTATTTACTTATTTTGACATTCATTTTCAGCAAGAGGTCCATCACTCTCTGGAAGAACTTTCCACAGCTGGGCCAACCGAGGAGCTGGAGGGCTAGCCAGGGGGCCAAGTCTCTGCTCTCCCAAGGACTTGCTGGAATGTTACCACTACATGGTGAGCATGTACACATGAGGTCATGAAAGGAGTGAGCGTCCAGCTGCTGGGCACCCCCTGGGATCACTGGATCCTCTTGGCACTCCTGAGTATTCACAGATAGTGCTGATGGATGGATGAATAAATGGACGAACACACTCATACTCTGAACTTACATAAACCCCATAAAGCTCTTGTCAGGAATGTTAATCTGAAACTCAGTAGTCAAGAGCCCAGAGGCCAGAATGAAGGTCCTCTGCGAAGAGAACAAGACTCTGAGTGGACTAGGCCTGGAAGGCTGAGCTGGGGCCATCCCTCACCCAGGCCAAGCTTTCTGCTATAACAACCCTGCACGGGGAGCTTGGAGGGAAGAGTGGAATACGGGACTAAGCCGCATGGAATTACCCAAGACAAGCAGACCCTCCCCACTGGTACTGTCCAATGCCACTGGCCACATATGTGGCTATGTAGACTGAACTGTAACTGATTACAGTGAAAAGCAATCGAAAATCCTATTGCACTGGCCACATGACAAAAGCTCAGCAGTCACAATTGGCCTTAACTACTGTCTTAGTTAAGATATGGACCATTTCACTAATCCAGAAGGTTCTATAGGACAGCACTGTCCAGGTGAATACTGAGAGGGGAAGAAGGCACACCCAGATGCTGCTCACCACGCCCATTCTTCTTCTGCAGGGCTTCTCGATAAACTCGCTGCTGTTCATGGCCCATGCGGCCCCACTCCTCTCGGGACAGGTATAAAGCCATGTCCTCAAAGGTCACCGGCATCTGAAACAACAGAGGTGACCACGGCACTGTCTGGACTACACATGGGAACTGGCAAATGGACAGGATGGGTGGGGAGAACCCCCGATTCAAACCCACAAGACAAAGCTACCCCCTGGATCTGGACCTGGGAGTATCCAGCACCCAGTCTGGGTTTTCACAAGTGTTGAGTGCACATGGCAAAGATCAAGGCAGCTGCGGTGAGCAGAAGACAAGAGAACAAAGGGTCCTTCTCTGGACAACAGCTAAGACCCCACACATGTTCCCTAAGCACCTCAGACCAGGTGCCCAGATCCCGGAGGGGAGAGTTACAAGGGAGACATCTGCCCTTCCTTGGTGTCTCCCTGAGCCACCTGAACAGAGCTCCGGCCCTGGCAGTGCGCCCAGAGGGGGGTGCGAGGAACAGAAGAGCCCAGCAGGTGCTGAGCTCAGGGTACAAGAAGCACTTACCTGTGACCAAGCAGTGAGGAGCGCCGTGGCCATCTGCTGGTCTCGGCTTTTCTCTTCCTGGGAAGGAGTCGGGGCCTGTGGGGAGGGGCAGGCTGGGAGAACAGAGGGTTGCTCAGGGGTCAGCTCCTCTGCTGGGCCCTGACCCCCAAGGCGGCCTGCCCTGTCCTCCCAGGACCTCCATGGCCCCTCAAGCTTCACCTCCCTGGGGAAGGTCCTCTATGCTGCAGGTTCCCTCTGGGAATTGCCTATTACCCACCCTCCACAACTGAGTACCCCCCACTCACCTCGGACAGACAGAAGGCCAAGCAGACCCTTCTCCCTGGAGACATGACTCACGGGCGTCCATCTCATAGCACTCCGACCCCCTCCCACCCTCACCAACCCCTGAGGACGCGGCACTTCAGGCTCCGTCTTGATGCACGGTGACTCCCGAGCGGCTCCCAAAGGCCCCGTCTCCTCGGACTCGGAAAGCATCGCTCGACAAAGATGCTGGGGACCTGGAACCTAGGACAGGCAGCCCAGTCAACACCAGGCGGGGTGGGAGAAACAATCCCAGCACTACCTGAGGGGTTGTCAAAAGGGCCAGACCGCACACTGGATACAAGGCGCAGCTCTGGTCACACTGTGGCCCTGCTAGTCCTGTTTCCTTGTCCTC